TGGCAGCCAGCGGGCAAGGATTATTGTCGCTTGCTCATTGAACAGGGTGGCTGCTGAATTCTGTACCACCTGCAGTTTCTGAACCATCTTCAAAGGCAGCACCATATATAATGCATTGCAGAAATCTAATCTAAAGGCAAAGCAATTTGGAAGAAGTCAGGTAGGCACATGGAAGAATTGATTTTTGAACCCAGAAGACCAGCACGTGTCTCAGTTTTCCTTCCTTCCTTCCTTCCTTCCTTCCTTCCTTCCTTCCTTCCTTCCTTCCTTCCTCCTTCTTTATCGCAAAGGGATAAAATAAGCTTAAAGACACAGCTTACATCACCTAGAAAGCTTCAGAAGGCATTTCGAACTTGAGCCTCCCACAATTAAATTTGAATAATCCTCCCCCTGAGAACAGGACACGGGTGGCGCTGTGGGTTAAACCACAGAGCCTAGGACTTGCCGATCAGAAGGTCGGCAGTTCAAATCCCCGTGACGGGGTGAGCTCCCGTTGCTCGGTCCCTGCTCCTGCCAACCTAGCAGTTCAAAAGCACGTCAAAGTGCAAGTAGATAAATAGGTACCGCTCTGGCGGGAAGGTAAACAGTGTTTCTGTGCACTGCTCTGGTTTACCAGAAGCGGCTTAGTCATGTTGGCCACATGACCCAGAAGCTGTACGCTGGCTCCCTCGGCTAATAAAGCGAGATGAGCGCCACAACCCCAGAGTCATCCGCGACTGGACCTAATGGTCAGGGGCCCCTTTACCTTTACCCTCTGAGAAAACATGCACACACTGAGTAACATACTACGCAACGTCACCACGACATCTGTAGTTGCGGCTTTAAAATAGACCCTATTTCCCATGGCAATGGGGGGGGGGGGAGATTCTCCACCACTAACCCATTGCACTGTTTTGCTCTGAGCGGATCATTTTTTTGAAGGGAAAAAAGCTGACGACTCTCACAAAACCCAGCTCTGCCATGCGTCGCAAAAGACTTCCCAGCCATAACTTTCTCATCCTTAAGATGTGAAGAAGGTCATTGTCAACACTTGATGCACTTCACAGTCGCTGTGATGCATTATGCCAGCATTTTGGGGGGTTATGTTCCTCTGTTGGGTATTAGATATTTATAATTTGGCCATAAAAGCTACACAGGACTTGAAACTTGGCACCGGGGATGGAAATCTGAAGTAACTGTTTATCATTCTGGAGCAATTTGGCTCGCCCAGCTAGAGCTGCTGCTGTGTGGCCCTCGCCCATTGACAGCCAGGATGGGCGTATAAGCGATAGACTTGGACCAGTCCCCACTCAGCCACATGAAGCTTAATGGATGATTTACTGGTCAGTCTCTATCTCCCAGCCTAAATTCCAGTCCTACCCCAGGTTGTTATGAAGGAAAAATCGGGGAAGGAAATGTGTAGAAACGTTCTTCATGTTTGGGTTGTTCCTTGCTGTAATTCCAATGCAACACTGTATTGTATTGAATATAAGAAGTGCAGTTGGCCAGTCTTCATACAGGATCCGGTCCCAAAACTTGAGCATCGCCCAGCCAAGCCCCAGCTTCCCTTTCCGCCAGGGGTCAGGAACCTGTGGCCTTTCAGATGATACCGTATTCCAATAATCCCCCACCCCTTGGTTGTGCTGACTGGGGCTGATGGGAGTTGCAGTCCAATAACATCTGGAGGGCCACAGGTTCAGCCTGACGTCAACAGAATCTGAGTTGTACCAACAAAATCTTGAAGGGTGTGGGGAGAGGAGCATTTCCAGCCAAAGTTAGGCCCCACAGCCATTAAGTGCAAGCAGATGGTAAAATCTGTGCCCCGTTAATTAGGAGAAGAGGGGTTCTTTGCTGTAGCTCGGCCTCCACCAACATGGCTTCCTGCAGATGTTTTGGATGTCAGTTCCCATCAGCATGTGCTGGCTGAGGCTAATGGAGGGTAAACAAAGGCTGGCGAGGCCTGAGAAGGGTGCATTTTCCAAACAAATAATCTTCTCTTTCCTCATCATCCAAACCACAGCTCACTTCAGTTCTGCACCTCTGGGAAATTCACTGTCTAATAAGCTATGACCCGCAACTTCCTGAGAACATTGTCAAAATTATATCGTGTTACTTTTGCTTTCCTTTCTAAGAGATGGGCTGTATCACGATGGCTTTTAATGGAACGGGTCAAATTTTAGGGTTGTTAATGCAGGTCCAGAATGAATTAAGGTCCAAACCCCCAAAAGGGGAAATATCTACTGAATGTGCTAGAAACCTCTTTGCAGCCAAGAACCATGGCTTATGGGGCTAACCAACTATGGGAGGAACTCCTTTTCAGACCTTATCACACAAAGATCTGTTCCAACTGCACCGGCTGCCAATTCATTTCCGGGCCCAATTCGAAGTACTGGTTTGGACCTATAAAGCCTTAAACAGCCCAGGACCGCAACAGGGAAGATTTATGTTTTGTTCTTATTTTTATTACGTAGTTTGTGGTTTTTTATATATTTTAATTTTAAGTTGTGAACCGCCCTGAGATCTATGGATGTAGGGCACTGCACAAATTCAATAGGTACTAGTAGTACAGTGGTACCTCAGGTTAAGAACTTAATCCGTTCTGGAGGTCCATTCTTAACCTGAAACTGTTCTTAACCTGAGGTACCACTTTAGCTAATGGGGCCTCCCGCTTCTGCCGCGCGGTTTCTGTTCTCACCCTGAAGCAAAGTTCTTAACCTGAGGTACTATTTCTGGGTTAGCAGAGTCTGTAACCTGAAGCATCTGTAACCCGAAGCGTCTGTAACCCGAGGTACCACTGTAGTAGTAATAGTAGTAATATTGCAACTTTAGCCTGCAGGCAGCTTCCCCCCCCCCCATTTTACGAAACTGGGCTCCAGATCATGTGAAGAGCGTACATTTCTGCAAAAGTCCAGAATGTTGGGATCGTGTGAGGGTGGGGGATGGCGACAAAGGAGCAGAGCTTAAGAGTGATTGCATTGATGTAATCTTTTCTCATTTGAAATTTGCACATCATGTGTACACACCAAAGCCCCTATTATAATAGTTTGATGGGCTTTAACTTGTGTGTGTTCTTCATCCTATTGACCTTAGCGTGTTGCTGCTTAGGATATTTGCGGCCCCTTAAAACCGGCAAGGGTATGTTGCCTACTCGTGAGTAAATTTAGCCAGGCCATGCACTTTGAAGATTGGGAGAGAATGTGTTCATTGCAATAGCCGCCCAGGCACCGTGGAAAATATTATAGAAAAAGTTAGTATCTCTTTTAAGAGATAATGGCTTTTTCCATAGCACCCACCCAAATGAGAAGGCCTGGCCTCCGAAGAGAGATGTAAAATATACTTTGAGCTGCTTCTCTTGTTCTTTGGGAAGACCGGAGTCCCAGCCGCTTGGAGAAAAACATCTTTCTAAAGTTGTACTGCAGGCTGGAGGGTGTGCTGGGGAGAGGACCTTGTGCTAAGCGGTTGGGTTTATATCTACACTTATCGCTTCCCTTATTTAAAAGACAAAAGGATCACCTTGGAGAGAAGGCGGAATATTTATTTTGGAAGCCCACTGAAACATTCTAAATCTGCACACATAGATCAGGCAGGTATAGGCAGTTTGCACTGTGATGTCCTCCTTGGGAAAATTGCCCATTCATTTCACAGCCTTCCCTTTTTAAAAATCCTCCATTCACCATTAATTATTTTCATTTTTTATGTTACACTGCCACCTTTTGTCCATTGGTTGGGAAACCTCTCGTCAGCTTGGATGCCTGCCAGGTTTATTATTATTATTATTCTCCCCTGTTTTCCTTGATCGGTATTGGAAGAGAACACTTTGATCCAACCTTTGCAATATATATAGGTGAACGATAATGCCGTTTTTAAAAAATATTGTGACAACAGCCTGAGTGGCGAATCACTCAAATTCTAGTAATGTGCAGTGCAAGTGAAAATATCCATGATGCTCCCCAAATATCGTCCTTTACCCTTGTGGTGTAGAAACTGCTTCCATGGGCCTTAGGTAAAGGTACCCCTGATCATTAGGTCCAGTCGCGGATGACTCTGGGGTTGCGGCGCTCATCTTGCTCTATAGGTCGAGGGAGCCGGCGTTTGTCCACAGACAGCTTCCGGGTCATGTGGCCAGCAGGACTAAGCCACTTCTGGCGAACCAGAGCAGCACACGGAAACACTGTTTACCTTCCCACCAGAGCGGTACCTATTTATCTACTTGCACTGGTGTGCTTTTGAACTGCTAGGGTGGCAGGAGCAGGGACCGAGCAACGGGAGCTCACCCCGTCGCAGGGATTCAAACCACCGACCTTCTGATCGGCAAGCCCTAGGCTCTGTGGTTTAGACCACAGTGCAACCCGCGCCCATGGGCCTTACCATGGGCCTTACCTCGAACATTCATACTTGTAGTATCTGGATGGAGGAATCAGACGAGAAGCGTAGATGGCATAATTTCTCCATGTATAAATGCTGCCTGGATTTTCCCCATCTGCTGCCTTGCCTTACCCAGAAGACATTGGTTGCAGTTACACCTTTAAGTCGCTTTTGCAACGCCAGGCTCTGCATTTATTTCTTTATTTAGAACCTTTATAAACCGCTTGTTCAGTTGGAAAATTCTCCAAGCATAGTACAAGTCGATAATGATATATAAAAAAGTGACTGAAATGCGCACTCATTTTAAAAACGCATAAAATCATCATTAAAAACAAAGGGATAAATCAATATAACATTTGAAGGAAATATAACTAATCCATGTGTCTGGATAGGCTTCCTGGGAGGGAAACATTTTCAGCTGGTGTCTAAAAGAATAGGTGGCTGCCTAATTTCAAGAGGCAGGGAGTTCCACAGTACAGGTGTTGCCACACTAAAGGAGAGACTTCTTGTAAAAGCAGAATGAACATTGTGTGTGGCACCTGTAAAAGTGCAAGTTAATGTGCCATTAAATTATTATTTATGTATATGTTTTTAGAGACAAAGAGCAGTAATATTCACCTTCAGATTCTTAACCTGCTGTGTTTTGCTTTGTCCAGGGTTATATCCTTCGTTGTGACCTCATGGTTTAAGCGGGCATAAAGATGAGTATAAGCAGTGATGAGGTTAACTTCCTCGTATATAGATACTTGCAAGAGTCCGGTGAGTATTTGGCTAATAATTCTTTGAGGGATCCGTTTTGGGGGCAGCATTTAACAAATATTCAGACATCCTTCAGGATCTGTATTGTGTTACATGCAAAGTGGCTGAAAGACTAGAGTATGACTCTCAGCAAGGCAATTTCTCTTACCCAAACTCCCATCTGCTTTCAAATTGTCTGGCCTGGGGACGGTGACAATGGCCTACTTTAACATGGTTACATATAAGGATTATTACAAGTCCATATTATCCCAATTTTTGCCAACTTACACCTTAAGATCTGCAAGGGAAGCTCTGCCGGTGGTCCTGTCGACGACGGCTATTTATTTGGCAAGGGTGTAGAGCAGAGTCTTCTCTGCAGTGACACCCTGGTTGTAGAATTAACTCTTGGGGGAGATACAAATGTCAGCTGGAGACTTTTTTGTTCCTCCAGGCCAGTGCTTCTCAAACTTGGATCTCCAGCTTTTTTGGGACTACAGTTCCCATCATTCCTGACCACTGGTCCTGCTAGCTAGGGATGATGGGAATTGTAGTCTGAAAACACCTGGTGACCCAAGTTTGGGAAACTTCTCTAGGCAACGGAGGTGTTGTGTTTCCTGTTGAATGACTTGCTGATACATGTCTAGCGATGGTTTTGGGACATGTTTTAATACTTTTAATGTTTTATGTCACTTTTAATGTTTTATGGTGAAACACTGCATTTCATTTTAGATGTCACAGGCAACCCTTTGAGTTGAAGGGTGCTTTAAATATATAATAAATATCTATAGGTAAAGCATTTTTTGCTAATCCGAACTGCTATATGGATGCTAATTATTGTTCTTCCTAGAGCTGAACTTCCAGTTTTTCTTCTCCCTGCTTTGTGTACAGTGGTACCATAATCCGTTCCGGAGGTCTGTTTGTAAACCACAACAGGTTGTAACCCAAAGCGCGCTTTCACCAATGGAGCCTCCAAAAACAATTTGTTTGTAATCCAAAAAAATGGGTTGTAATCGGAAAAAAGGTTGCAAACCGGGACATGCACTTCCGGGTTTGACGTGTTTGTAATCCAAAATGTATGCGAACCAAGACGTATGCAAACCAAGGTACCACTGGACTTGTTGAAAAGCACCAGTGTTTTTCAGTGAGTTTTTGGCTACCCCTCGGAATTTAGTACATTGGCTTAATACAGAATGCTCAAGAAGATTATTATTCCAAAGCAGCTGTGAGATGCATTGGCCAGTTTCAAGAGAAATAATTTCCGGGGCAGAGGCCTTTTTGGTGGTAGCCCCTGCTCTTTGGAATAAGCTTCCCAGAGAGTCCTGCCTGGTACCTTCGCCGACTTCATTCTGCCAGGAGTGAAAGTGTATTTGTTTTCAAAGGCATTCTTGATTATTATTATTTTACCTCCAATTTTTCGGTTATGGAATTTTCTAACCTTTTTTTTTCTGCGGGATGGATTTTGTGCTCTGAAAAGCTGAATTCCATAACCTGTCAATTCTGCCCATTCTGGCTCAAAAAATGTGCTCAGCTTTAATGCAAAAGCAGCATATGGTACCCCTAAGTGGAAATTGCCGTCACGAATGGTTTTTCTTATGGAAGTATATTACCGGGAGAGGAGTAATAAGGGATAAAGCTACACAGAAAGGAGATTGCTCACCTGGATTGTAGCACACAGAACGCCAGTTCTTTCTGACTAGGATCATGTTTTGTACATCAAAATAGACTTTTTAAAAAGCATACACTGGAAGTTTTGTTAAAGACTTACCTAAAAAAAAAAAGTGTGGAAAAATATGCGTGCTCAGGTGTTGATTCTTTTCCAATTGTCAAACAAAACTTCATCTTATTTTCGCCCAGTGTGCATCTTGAATTGCATGTTGTATGTAAAATCGAAACTTTCTGTGTACTCTTTCACACGGTGTTGGATTCATTTTTTGTCTCTTCAGAAGATACTGAGTTGTACAGTGGTGCCTCGCAAGACGAAATTAATTCGTTCCGCGAGTTTTTTCGTCTTGCGATTTTTTCGTCTTGCGAACCACGGTTTCGGAAAAGTTTTGGAAAAGCTTCAAAAATCACCAAAGTCTTCAAAAACCTCAAAAAAGGCTACCACACCGCGTGCTATAAGTTGCTCCTCGAAGTCAAGTCGCAACTGTATTAACGGTTTTAAGAAAAAGGAAACAAACTTGCAAGACATTTCCGTCTTGCGAAGCAAGCCCATAGGGAAAATCGTCTTGCGAAGCAACTCAAAAAACCAAAAACCCTTTCGTCTTGCGAGTTTTCCGTCTTGCAAGGCATTCGTCTTGCGAGGTACCACTGTATATAGAAAATAATGAAAAACCGCAGGGAACACTATAAAAGGTGGGGTATGGGGAATATTCCTTGGGGAAGGGGTTCTTTGTACCTGATAAGAGCTCACCCTCCTGAGCATTTTGGTGAATTGTCTGCTATTTTTGCAAAAAAAAGTTTGAGGTTAAACTATAGATTGACTAGACTAGTGTGAATCAGACAAACTGAGCAATTTTAATGGAGAGACCTAGAGCTTCAGTGGGGACTTCGGTCTTACAACAAGTGGTTGGGAAGTTTATTCGGCCACTTTTAGAATTGCTAGGGGACGCGGGTGGCACTGTGGGTTAAACCACAGAGCCTAGGACTTGCCGATCAGAAGGTCGGCGGTTCGAAACCCCGCGATGGGGTGAGCTCCCATTGCTCGGTCCCAGCTCCTGCCAACCTAGCAGTTTGAAAGCACGTCAAGTGCAAGTAGATAAATAGGTACCACTCCGACAGGAAGGTAAACGGCATTTCCGTGCGCTGCTCTGGTTCACCAGAAGTGGCTTAGTCATGCTGGCCACATGACCCAGAAGCTGTCTGTGGACAAACGCTGGCTCCCTCGGCCTATAGAGCGAGATGAGCGTGCAACCCCAGAGTCGGTCACGACTGGACCTAATGGTCAGGGGTCCCTTTACCTTTACCTTTTAGAATTGCTGAGATATTGCTAGCATGGCTCACATGTTGTTGGAACCATCTCCAAATCCAAAGGAGCAAAAACCTAGCAAAAGCAGAGTAGAACATTCCCTTTTAATTTTTTATTTTCTTTTTAAACTAAGATGTGGTCGACCCAGCTCATTTCTGGCGCGAGAGTGGTATGTAAGCGTGATAATAATTCTGTGGGTTTTGCCGCAGTTACATAGATTCCTAGTGGTTCAAGGCTCTTCATTCTACCGTATTACGTTTTAATATGTGTTGGAAGCCACCCAGAGTGGCTGGGGCAGGTCAGCCAAATGGGTGGGGTATAAATAATAAAACTATTATTATTACTATTATTGGAAGGGACCTGTAGTTAATCCAAATTAAAACAAAAGAAATCCAAAAGGCCACGAGGCAACCCCCCACCCACCCATTTCCCTCCTCCTGGCAATCAAAGTACAACAGATTTGCTGCCAAGCTATCCTCTTTGTGGAGAGCGGGGAGGGGCCAACACAGAGGATGTCCTGTTTCTGGTAACCCACACACGTCTCATTTGCTTTGCCTACAGAAAGTCCCAGGTTTAATCCCTGAAATCTGCTGGTAGGGCTGAGAGAGACCGCTGCCTGAAGCCCTGGAGAGCGGCTTCTAGTCAGTGTAGACAAAACTGAGCTAGATGGAGGAATGGTCTGATTCTATATAAGCCATCTTCCTGAGTTCCTCCTTCAATAGCAGCAGAACAAGGGAATAGTAATAGTAATAGTGATAGTAATAATTTATTACTTATACAGTGGTACCCCGCAAGACGAACGCCTCGCAAGACGGAAAACCCGCTAGACGAAAGGGTTTTCCGTTTTGGAGGCGCTTCGCAAAACGAATTTCCCTATGGGCTTGCTTCGCAAGACGAAAGCCCATAGGGAAATCTCCGGGACAGCGGGGAAGCGCAGCGTGTCTTCCCCACTGTCCTCGGACCCCCTCCCGCTGCCCGGCATCGGAACGAAGCTCCGATACCGGGCGGCGGGAGCGGGGACACCTTCTCCGCCGCCCGCCATCGGAACGAAGCTCCGATGCCGGGCGGGGGGCGGGGACACCTTCTCCCGCCGCCCGCCATCGGAACGAAGCTCCGATGCCGGGCGGGGGGGCGGGAACGCGTTCTCCCGCCGCCCGCCATCGGAACGAAGCTCCGATGCCGGGCGGGGGGGGCGGGGACGCCTTCTCCCGCCGCCCGCCATCGAAACGAAGCTCCGATGCCGGGCGGGGGACGCCTTCTTCCGCCGCCCGCCATCGGAACGAAGCTCCGATGCCGGGCGGGGGGGGCGGGGACGCCTTCTCCCGCCGCCCGCCATCGGAACGAAGCTCCGATGCCGGGCGGGGGGGCGGAGACGCCTTCTCCCGCGCCCGCCATCGAAACGAAGCTCCGATGCGGGCCGGGGGGGGCGGGGACGCCTATTCCCCGCCGCCCGGCCATCGGAACGAAGCTCCGATGCCGGGCGGGGGGGGGCGGGGACGCCTTTCCCGCCGCCGCCCATCGGAACGAAGAGCTACCGATGCCGGCGGGGGGGCGGGACGCCTTCTCCCGACCGCCCGCCATCGGAACGAAGCATCGATGCCGGGCGGGGGGAGCGGGGACTCCTTTCTCCCGACCGGGCCCCGCCACTCGGAACGAAGGCTCCGATGCTGGGCGGGGGGGGAGCAAGGGGACACCTTCTCCCGCCGCCCGCACATCGGAACGAAGCTCGATGCCGGGCGGGGGGCGGGACGCCTTCTCCCGCCGCCCGCCATCGGAACGAAGCTCCGATGCCGGGCGGGGGGGCGGGGACGCCTTCTCCCGCCCGCCCGCCATCGGAACGAAGCTCGATGCCGGGCGGGGGGCGGGGACGCCTTCTCCCGCCGCCCGCCATCGGAACGAAGCTCCGAAGCCGGGCGGGGGGGGCGGGGACACCTTCTCCCGCCGCCCGGCTTCGGATGGCTTTCCTGAAGACTTGGCGTGGGAGGAGGGTTTGCCTTCCCACCGCCAACCTTCAGAATGCTGTTCTGAATGTTGGCGGTGGGGAGGAAAAACC